AAAAAAAAAGAGTTGCACTTGGACACTCTTCCTCCTCCTCTGTTGATTCCTGTGCCCTGCCTGGTCTCCCCTGCCTGCCCTCTGGACCTCCCAGGGTCCCGCTGCAGGAATGACTTCCTGGCAGTCGTCCCTGAGGCTGGAGGAACTTGGCACCCCTTAGGCAGGCACCACAGCAGCTCCTGTCCTCCCCTGTCCTCCTGTTCACCCCCCGCTGGGGAGGCAACCAGCCGTGTCCTGGGTGAGCCATCCACCCGGTGCATCTGACCCTCCGGGCTGTTCCCACAATGGAGCTATTCTCTTTAGACTCTGCCGGGCACTCGGGGCCAGTGTCTGCCTCTCCCTGATCCCTGTGCCCCACCAGCCCCTGGAGGAGACACCCGCCCTTGGCTCTGCCAGCGCTGGCTGGGGAAACCACGGGAGATTTGGAGCCCTGACCCTCTGCCGGGTCCCATTCTCCAGGGAGGACCAGCACGATGACTGACTCCCCATTCCTGGAGCTGTGGCAATCCAGGGCAGTGGCCATCCGCCAGCGGCTGGGCATCGGGGACCAACCCAATGACTCCTACTGCTACAACTCGGCCAAAAACAGCACCGTGCTCCAGGGGGTCACCTTCGGTGGCATCCCCACTGTCCTGTTCATAGACGTCAGCTGCTTCCTGGTGAGACTCCTTGGGAATCGTGTCAGTTATTTGTTTGTTTAACCTCCATCCCCCAACTCCCTGCCACCCCAGGGCTTTCTGGGAAACTCAGGTGAGGAGCCAGCAGACATCCCTGGGCTGAAGTCCTAGCTCTGCTACTTTGCAGCTCTGTAACCTTGGGCGTGTTACATAGCTTGTTTAGGCCTCAGATTTTTGCTCTGTAAATGGAGGTAATAATTGTTACCTCAAAGATTCTGGGACAAGATTAAATAAGGCAATGTATGTAAAGAATACACATTGCGATTCTTTTGATTATTACCATTGTTACTGAGTTATCAGCCTGTCATGTGTCTAAGGCCCCTGGGAAGGGTCAGTCCACAGGGATGAGAGATGTGAATGAGCATTAGAGTAGCTGCAATTCCCAATTTATAAATGTCACCCCCCTGTTCCCCACTGGGGTCCCTGGGCCTTTAGGGGATCAGACGAGAAAAGGAGAAAACCGGGGAAAGGCGAGATCAGTGACGACCCTCATAGGTGGCCTTTCTTTAGTTCAGACCTCCTTGTTCCCAAAGACCGCCCCCCCCAACCCAATTTGAAATATGCCGTATTCTCCCCTAGACTGGCTCAGACATGCTAGGTGAGATTTACTGGGGCTCAGGGGCACCTTCTTTTGACAAGTGCCCATGGGATGGTTGGTCCCTCTTGTCACCTTTTCCTCCCATGTAGTGGAGACCACCTGATTAAACAGGGTAAGAGGGGACGGAGGGAGTAGACCCCTTGGACTGCTTTGGGCCAGAGGTTAGGTGGGGGCCTGGGGAAGGGGCTTAGGGTAGCCCGAGGGCCCCCGTCCCTGAAGGAGGCGGGTATCCAACCCAGGTTTGCTTGGGGGGAAAAATGTTCATAGGAAGAGGGAAAGGGAGTCCTAACTCCTCTTTGCGTTTTCCTCCCTAGGATTAAAGTCTAAATTGTTGCCTTAGACTTTTGCTACATTTGTTGGTCCTCTAGGGGCAGATGTGGGAACCCGTGTGCTACTCATGTTGATTTTACGAAAAAGGGCTCTTTAAGTGCCGAATAACCCACGTCTTGGAGCCAAAACCCATTTGTAGGTTGAGAACAGTCATATCTACCAGCCTTGGTTGGGAGGAGGGAGTAGGCAGGAGCGTGGTGACGGATTTGAGGGTTGGTGGGATTCATGGAGAAGGGTGGCCCTAGAGCTGTGATCCAGCGTCTGCAGGGAGGGGAGGGTCTGGGCCAAGGAGAGAAGTCCGGAGAGGCAGGCTGGGGTGGGTATGTCTTGGTTGAGAAGAGAGAGTAGCTCTCCAGTGGAGTGTGCTGGTGGGGGTGGATTTGTATTGCAGCAAGTTACGGGGATTGGGGGTGGGGTGGAGGAAGGGACCCACCGAAGAGCCAGAGGGGCCTGGAGGAGAGAGATGCGTGGGAAATGTCTACACCGCTCGAGCCAAGGGAGCAGCAGCCAGGGCAGAGGACAGGCACTTGCCGAGCCACCTTCATATTTATCCGACAGCAGGACTCACCTGCCTTTGAAAATATATCACCAACTTCCAGATTCACCTTGAGAAAATTCTGCTGGAACTCAGCCCCTCTGGGGTCCAAAACCCACATTTTTAAATTTTATTTTATTTTTATATCTTGAGAAACAGAGCAAGTTTATTTGTGCTTAAGCATGAAGGAATACCAGAAAGAGTATCATGATGTGAATAAAGGGAATGTCCAACACGGACAAATAGGAAGGAGAAAATGCCAGTTTTCATGTTCCCTTTCTGCATGTGCAACTCAGTGTAGGAGACCCTGATTCACTACAGCTTTGGGTGCTCACTAACTTCAACAACCTTTCTTTCTTTTTCTTTCTTTCTTTCTTTCTTGCTTGCTTGCCTGCTTGCTTGCTTTCTTGCTTTTTTATTAAAATATACAATGTTCTTTATTATAAACTCCATTTAGCCAATTCATTCATTAATTTTTTAAAACATCTTTATTGGAGTATAATTGCTTTACAAGGGTGTGTTAGTTTCTGCTTTATAACAAAGTGAATCAGTTATACATATACATATGTTCCCATATCTCTTCCCTCTTGCGTCTCCCTCCCTCTCACCCTCCCTATCCCACCCCTCTAGGTGGTCACAGACCATCTAGCTGATCTCCCTGTGCTATGCGGCTGCTTCCCACTAGCTATCTATTTTACGCAAAACCCACATTTAAAACCACAGTTCCTGACTAGGGCAGGCAGGGATATACTGATTAAAACGCTGAGCCCTGAAGAGAGGGAGCCTGTCCAGGGAGGGGAGACAGGCAGGAGCAAGACAGAGGACCTGCAAAGGTGGACACGGAGGGAGCGAGGAGACAGTCTAGAATCGACAGACTTTTAGAGCGGAAAGGGGGTTAGACTTGAGTCCAGTGCCTCGCGTTGCTGTTGGGCACACAGGCCTGCCGAGGGCCCCGCGCGTGCTCTGCGCCAGGCGTCCCCAGGGCTTGCCTCCAGGAGAACCAAACTCAAGATAAAGATCTGACCACTTCTGGCTCAGCTTCCAGGAGCTCTGCTACCTCTGTTCTGTAATGAAAGATGCATCTCTATGTAAAGTGAAGGAGGGAGCTGGTCCCCAGGGCTGCTGTGAGGGCCTTCCTGCTCAGGAGACCCTGCAGGCAAACCAGGGCTTAGGAAGGCCGTGGCTGTCAGGGCTGCCTTGAGACTAAAAGAGCAGGACCTGAGTGCTTGACTAGGGGGCTGCCGGGGCAAGCTCCGTGTCAGTGTTGACAGCCTTTGTGGCTTGGGCACAGGGGACAGGAGCTGGTGAAGGGGGTGAGCACAGCATTGAGCCCTTGAGCTGTGTGGCCTTGGGCAGCTCCATGCCTTCTCTGGCCCTTTTAGCCCTCCTGAGTCCGGGGGTGGGGGGTGGGGGTTTGGGGGAGGGGCGGGCTTTGCCCCTAAGACAATTGCCCCTAATTAGAAGTCATCCAATATGCTTTTACAAGACCTGATTTCTTTTCTACTTTTAGTTTTTAATATTGGTATTTTCCATCATAAGAAGAAAATTCTGGGATTATGGCCGCATTGCCCTGGTATCAGAAGCAAACAGGTAAAAAAGACTCGTTACGTCAAGTGTCTGTGTGTGTGTGTGTGTGTGTGTGTGTGTGTGTGAGAGAGAGAGAGAGAGAGAGAGACAGAGACAGAGACAGAGACAGAGACAGAGACAGAGACAGAGACAGAGGCTGGGATGGGGCTGGGGGCTTGTGAAGCCCACCAGGCACAGCCCACACATGATGCTCGTATTAGATTGTGTTCATTAGTGTGTCTGCCAGGCCTGTACCAGAGACTGTTCTCTCTACTCCTCACCACAGACCTGTGAGATTAGCCTTTGGTACCTTCTTGGTGGCCGTAAGAAAACCATTGCCCACACACCCAGCTTCCCCCTGGGGCTTGGAGCTGGCTGACTGTGAGCCAGCTGCTTCAGGCTACGGAAGAAATCTAGTTGCCTTAGATACTTAAGACTTTCAGCATCAGCTGAGGAGGATGCCAGCTTGCTTTCTCGCCTTGGACATTTTCAGGTGTATCTTCTCTAAGATTAATTAGCTCGGGGCTGGGGATGAGGCGCGCTGGATTGAGAAGGGCAGCAGGGCTGTAGGTGAGCCGCTCCTCTCCTCTGGGTCAGGGTCAGCCAGTGGCCCTAATCCGCCCGCTTCGGACGCTCTGTCACACAGCACAGACTGCCTTGGCCAGGACTCACGTCCTTCCACCTCCACCCTGGGCTCTCTGCGCACGTCACCTGAAGGGGGAGAATGAGTTCCAGGTCTGCACAACTGGAATTTCCAGCTCCAACTAGCTGTCCCTCACCCCAGGATCTTGTGCCAGATGCAGCAATAGGAAGCGACTGGGGAAACAGAGACTGGCCCGGGCTGTCCCGCCCAAGCCTCCCCGGGGGCTCCGCAGGCAGACCCGCACTCTTGTTCCTCAGTGGGTTCCCGTGTTGAAATGCGGTCTGTGCAGGAGGGCGATGGGGGTGTCTGTAAATGCACCTTCTTTCCCCACAGTCTCCACCCTGGTGTTTGCGGTAGCCCAAGGGTATTAACCTTGGGGTAAGGTGCTGGGGCCTCTGCTTCAGCTGTGTGCCAGCCTTGGACTGTTTGGGGGGGGAACTTTTGAAACACCTTGTGCAATTTTGGCACATTTACTCCTAGGAGGGCTGAGTACTACAACAGACTAGAGCACCTGGAAATCAGGAGCCTCCACACTTCCGTGGCTGTGTCATCTTGGTCAGGACCCTGAGCTCGTTGGGTTGTTTCCTCTTGCCTATTCTTGCCCGTAGGGTTACCATGAAGGTCAATTGAGGCAGTTCTCTGGAAAGGCTTTGAAAGTTGAGCTTCACCAGGCCTTATGCCATGAGAAGTGGGATGGTGAAGCCAGGAGTAGGAAAACAGAGAGAAAAGCAAAACGTAGCATATTGCAAACACCTCAAATTCACAGCGCACGGGGTGTTTTTATGGGTTACTCAGAAGAAAGGATCTGCCCAAACTAGCAATGTAAAATGCCCCAGTTCATCAAGTCTAAAATGCGCATCTTTGGCATTTTCTCATCTATGAAATTGGGTGCAACTTATCATCGATGGTGATCATGGTTAATTGACAGCATCCTTTACTCCTCAGTGGTTCAAAAAATAATTGTGCCCTTTACAACCAGTGGTGTCTTAGATTTGATAAAATACAGTATTTATTCCAAGTTTTATTTGCTATATTGGGAAATGTATTGTAAACAGGCAACACTTTGAAGTCACTTTACATAGACCAGTCACAGGGCTGAGGTTCAAGGGTGTGGGGCACAGGATGGTCCACTGATGCCCTGACCCCCTGTTATTCATCCCACGTAACATAGAGTTTGATGTCTCACCGAACCTTGGAATGGTCGATGCCCTTGCCTGTAGTTTTCACAGGGTGAGTTATATTTTGTCCCAGCCACCGAGCACTAGTAGCTTTGGTCCTGAGCTCTAAGAGGCAGCGAGATACTAGACATAAGTTTTTAGACCTTTTAAAAGGATTATCTGCCATTTTTCCCTTTTGTGTTTCTAGTGAGTCCAGATTCCAGAGACTGTCATCTTCCTCCTCAGGGCAGCAGGACTTTGAAAGCGAGCTGGTTGGTATTTAAGGGGCAGGTATGGTTGTGGCTGCGGGATGGGGGCTTGCAAGGATGGGCAGTAATGAATTGGCAGGGAGAGGGCGGTTGTACTCCTGCTGAGCCGCTAACTCAATACCCTTGACCTTGAGTGGCACGTGCTGGTGAGAGCTCTTCTCTGCTTTGACAAAGACACCTGAACTTGGGAAATACCACAGCAAAGATGGCAGCTGGGTGACCCAGGATCGTGAGACTTTGATTAATTCTCAGGCACCTGGCTACAGCTCTTGTCTGTGTTATCATACTTAACGACTTTGTGTGACAGTTAATTATTGACTTGCTTGCTAGCCTATGAGCCAGCTGTGGGCAGGAACCAAATCTTATCCAGCCCTGTTCCCCACCTCCTGACACCCAGTAGGTGCTAAATGACTGTCAAATGAATGGCGAGCAAATATTTGTCTTTCCCAGCTGGTAGTCCAGCTTTAAGGGCTATCAAGTTGAAGAGATACGATGGACACTAAAACCCATGAAACCCTTTCCCTCTCTAAACCCCGCCCCAAGGAACTGTCCAGTTGAGTGGGCTTGGTTCCTTCCTTTTGTCTTGCATCTCATTCAGTCATCTTGAAACAAACAGAAGCCCCCATCAGCTTCTCCAGAGCAGCCTTGAACTTTCATCAGCTCTCCATTCAAGTTGCACCATTTGACCCAGGAGCCTGTATAATTCCACAAATTGTCAAAACTTGAGAGGCGTTCACAAGATCTCCAGGCACAGGATGCATGTGACAGAGGACTGGGAACACACCGACTCTGTCGCGTTTGGACAAGAGGGTTGCTTGCTAAATTTGGGACAAGAGCACTGCTTTTTATAAAACGGGAGGTTAGATGGTTGTTTAAAGTCAAAGATGATGATTATATCTGCCTCCAAAAAACAGATTGTTGGAAGCTAATCCCTGTCCTCTGTTTCCAGGGATGCTGCCCCTGGCTGACTGCAATCTTCCGCCTGCAGTGAGTACAGCGCGGGTGGCTGGAGGTGTCTTTGTCTGGGTGGGTTTGTTTGGGTGTTCGGCCAGTCCGCCCAGGTGCCTGATCCTGAGCTGGAGTCTCTCAGATACTTTTCAGTTCAGACCCAAAGCTATACTTGGGGGCTGAGAATAAAGGTGGCCCAGGGAGCCCCTGTGGAAGCTAATTAAAGCTAATTTTTTGCTTTAGGCAGGAATTATATCGACATACTATTTAACACGGATATATTTGGATGGAAGCTCTTCTAGGCAGTGTCATGTCTTTGAATTAGTGAAAAGTGGAGAAATAATGATTGCTTAATATATTCAGCTCATTTGGTTAAAAGTTTTCTTTTTTTTCTTAAAACTTGGGCCCTTTGGAGAGAAATCCTGAAAGAGGCGCTTGGTGATTGTAAGCCAGTTAGTCTCCTTGCATGTGGTGGCAGAGCCAAGCTGCGAGTCTCAGCTCTGCTGCCTGCGGCCGTATTGCATCCTATCAGAGAAACCACGGTTGTAATATGCACAGCACCAAGAATGAGAAAATGCTTCCTATTATGCTGTGATTGGCTATGATCCCAGGGTGCCCCCCATTTCAAAGGTGTTGAAATATGGAAATGACATCCTAGAAGTGATGAAATGTGATAGTTCTAGGACATTGGGTAAGTCCCTCTCTCTGGGCTCTAGTTTCCCCAACTATAAAAGCAGGCTGAGAATAACACCTGCTCTGTCTAGTTCAAATGCATTCACACGCGTGAGCGTGTTGTAAAGAGTCCAGGCCGGTGAGAGTTGTTCCCAGGGGAACTGGCAGGAGGAAGTTTGTGCAGAAGAAACCAGTGAACTCTGGTCTGGAGTAGGAGGGGAGGTTTCTGGGAGGGAGGAGGGGACAAAGCTGGGAGAGGTAGGTTTGCCAGCCTCGCCCTTCCCTGCCCACTCCAAAATCATGTCAGTGTTTCCTCCGGGTGTTGGAAGTCATGCATATTCTGTGCAAAAATCCATCATGTACAGAACAGAATTCATAGAAAGAAATTTTAAGTCACCCCTATCCCTACCTCTGAAAGATGCCCTTGGCATGTTTCCCTCTGCTCAGCCACTCCCCATGGCACCGCTGGTTGGGACTCAGGCCATTCCCCTACCCTGAGCTGTGCCCCCCACTCTCTGCGTCGATCGGGTGGGGCAAAGCCAGAAACTTTGACTCATCATCTTCACGTTAACTAGCAAAGGCTGCTGACGGTTTGCACCGCAATCCATAGCCACTGTTTCTATCACTCCATGTCCCCTTTCAGCCCTCTCTGCGTGGACCTCACTTCTCATTGAGTGAGCCCATACCCATACAGTTGCGTATTCTGCTTTGTCATTTTAATGCTGTATCAGACATATTTTTCCATTTCAACTCCCATTGTTTTTTCTCTTCTGTTCCTGCCACAGAAAGGACTACCCTTTGACTTTTTTAAAGGCTGCAATTAAATTTTTTTTTTTTTTTTTTTTTTTTTTATATCTTTCTTAAATATATGAAAAAAATCACCCATGAATCCATCTGGACTTCCAATTTTCATTGGTGTAATTTTTAAATAACAGATTCAGTTACTTTAATAGATAAAGGATTATTTAGATACTCTAGATCTTTTTGTGACAAAATTGTAAGTTTTTTGTTTCTTTGCAGTACGCGGGCCTCTCACTGTTGTGGCCTCTCCCATTGCGTAGCACAGGCTCCGGACGTGCAGGCTCAGCGGCCATGGCTCACGGGCCCAGCCGCTCCGCGGCATGTGGGATCTTCCCGGACCGGGGCACGAACCCGTGTCCCCTGCATTGGCAGGCTGACTCTCAACCACTGCGCCACCAGGGAAGCCCTGCAATTAAATTTTAACAGCTGCTCACGCCCAGCGTTACAACTGACATTTAAAGAGGCCTCTCAGTTTCCTTCCAAATTGCCTTTCCCAGAAAGATAGGGAAATTCGAGGTGTATCTCAAGAAAAAATTGTTGATGAAAATTGCTCACTTATTGGTTTTATTTTTTTAAAATATTTATTTATTTCGGCTGCACCGGGTCTTAGTCGCGGCATGTGGGATCTTTTTAGTTGCGGCGTGCACGTGGGATCTAGTTCCCCGACCGGAAATCGAACCCGGGCCCCCTGCATTGGGAACGTGGAGTCTTACCCACTGGCCCACCAGGGAAGTCCCACTTATGGGTTTTAATCTTCACCAGTGTTTGTTTAGTAAGCACGTATTGTGGCAAAGTATATGAATTTTGGTAGTTTACTTAGAAGTGAAAACAGTGTAGTCAGTGGCAGAGCTTTGTCCTCCAGGTAAGCAGTAAAAAGGAGTAACATTAGCAAGCGTACTGCGAGCATCCATCCGGCACCAGGCACGGCGTTGGGCCTGGATCCTCACTGCCTCCTGTGCACCTGCTGAGTGACCAGCTAGCTAGCGGGTAGTAGCCTCCCTGCTTTAGTTCCCAGCCTCAGGTGGGTGCTGTGACCCTCTCTGGAGGCAGCTGAGCTGGAGTCCACTGTGATCTGTCTGTCTGGCTGCAGAGCCCTTGCGCCACACCTTTCACACCTGCCTTTTTATGCTGTGGCCCTTGCTTCCCTGAGCTCTTTCTTCCCAGTGCAGGGCTTTCCCTGTCCTCTGGAAGCAGGATCCTCAGGGTAGCTCCCTGTCAGGAGAGTGGGAAAGCAGGAGACACCCCCCTCCCCGTCTCCCTCTGTAGCATGGAAGCCTGGCTGTCAGAACCTAGAATTTTCTGGGTCCCCAAATGACCTGGAGCCTCCAAATACAGCACTGAGGGTGGGAAAGGGTGGAGCAGGTCGTCGCCCGCCTCTGGGGCCACAGCAGGGACACAGGGAAGAGGCAGGGCCAGCAGGATGGACTGAGCCTTAGAATGTTTAAAGCAGTAGCTCCAGGGACTTCCCTGGTGGCCCAGTGGTTAAAACTCTGTGCTCCCAATGCAGTGGGCCCGGGGTTCAATCCCTGGTCAGGGAACTAGATACCGCGTGCCACAACTAAAAGGGCCCACACGTGGCAACTAACGATCCTGCGTGCCGCAATGAAGGTCCGCACGCGGTAACGAAGATCCCACACGCCTCAACTAAGACCAGCACAGCCAAATAAATAGATAAATATTCAAAGATAAATAAAATAAAGCAGTGGCTCCACCTCTGTCTCCCAGTTCCCCTGAGGAGGAGATGGGAGAAAGGGTGGGAGCCATGAGCCTGGACACACACAGCTTTGCTCAGGAGATTCTCAGCAGCCCTCTTGTCAGTGGCTTTGCTTGTCCACAGGTGCAGGAAAGGGCTGAGGGATAATTGTATTTACACACAAACGTGGGCATAGATGTTTCCAGAGACCTAAAGTGGAGCAGTGGCAGGTTCCTTCATCCAGGAGTGTGGGGCGAGGGCTGAGAGGCAGGCTCTGGAGTTCACGTCATAGCTCTGCTGTTACAGGCTGGATGATCGTAAAAGTTAATGTGCTTGGGGCTTCCCTGGTGGCGCAGTGCTTGAGAGTCCGCCTGCCGATGCAGGAGACGCGGGTTCGTGCCCCGTTTCGGGAGGATCCCACGTGCCGCGGAGCGGCTGGGCCCGTGAGCCATGGCCGCTGGGCCTGCGCGTCCGGAGCCTGTGCTCCGCAAATGGGAGAGGCCACAACAGTGAGAGGCCCGCATAACGCAAGAAAAAAAAAAAAAAAAAAAAAAAAAGTTAATGTGCTTTTTCTGTACATGTTTCCTCATATTTAAAAAAGTGGAGATCAAATTGGGGCCTGCCTCACAGACGGTCATGAGGGTTAAATGAGATCATCCATGCAAGGCCCAAAGGGCCCAGCCTGTTACCGCTACTCACTAGGATTCCATGTGTGTCTTGGCCAGAGATGACCAGATCCTGGAGTGGTGTGGGGAGGACGCCATCCACTACCTGTCGTTCCAGAGACACATCATCTTCCTGCTGGTGGTGGTCGGCTTCTTGTCTCTGTGTGTCATCCTGCCTGTCAACCTCTCGGGGAGCTTGCTGGGTAAGGACTCCTTACCTTGCCTGAGTTGGGCCCAGGCAGAGCAGCAGCCCTGGGGAAAGGGCCTCATTGTGGTGGATCAGAACCCCAGGATTCATGCTCAAATTCAGATGTGAGAAGGTCTCAGGGTGACTTTCTGAACTTTTCCATTTGCTTAAAGATCTGGAGAAGAATCCACCCCAAACCTGGGCCAAGAGCTGGGGCCCCTAATATCTAAGTAGGAGGAAGACCCTTCCCTAGTGTGACCCTGCAGCTGAGTATCTGTGCTTCTCTGCAGACAAAGACCCTTACAGCTTTGGGAGGACGACCATCGCAAACCTACAGACTGAGTGAGTTCGAAGTTGTGGGGCGTGAGGGTGCTGATGGGTGAGACCAAGGAGAGGGCGGATTCTGGAGCCCGGGATAGGCCAGAGGTCGTCCAAAGTGAGCGAGTTAATGTCTGAAAGCCTCTTTGCCGCTAGTGCCCGCTGCTGGGCTATGGGCATGGACACGCCCCAGGCCGCTGTTGTTTTGCAGTGGGTTTTAGGAAACACAGAGGGCCCCGTGGAGCTGGGGTTCATTTGTCAGGACAGTGCCCTCCCTAAAGGGCACTGGCCGCTCACCCTCTGTTGGAGGAATCTGTTGTGATGAAGCCTTTGGCCCTCAGCTCAGTGCCATGAGGGTAACCAAGCCCAGCTCTGCGCCCTCACTCCCTTCCTGGGAGCCCAGCCCTGATGGCAGGTGGTGTCCCTCCCCTCCCCTGCAGCAACGACCTCCTTTGGCTGCACACCATCTTCGCTATCCTTTACCTCATCCTCACCGTGGGCTTCATGCGGCACCACACCCAGTCCATCAAGTACAAAGAGGAGAACCTGGTGAGCGAGGGGCGGTGGGGGGCTGGGCACGTGCTGGGGAGGGTCTCAGGTGGGAGCTGGGGAGGAGTGGCACCAGGCTTATTCCCCAGCGCCACGATGGCAGTGAGGGTAAGGCGGGGCCTCAGGCTTGCAAACGTGTGCTCAGCGTCGGCATTAAAACTATTTTTCCGGTAGATTGTTTTAGGATTTGGCTACTCCCCCCCATTTTGCCAAGTAGCCTTTAGATTTGTGGGGTTTGGGCTTGTAGTTACTGATTCTAAGTAACTTCCAAGAAGTTTGAATTGAGAGCAGCTCCCTCTCTCATTGTAGCCCATAACTTGATGGGGGGAGAGGGAGTTTCTATTACTTGGTTCCAGGCCTGGGTCCTCCTCTGATCTGCTGTGTGACCTCATTTGAGTCACTTCCCCTTTCGGGGTTCTTTCTCAGTCTCTTGTCATGCAAAGGAGGCTCATCGAAATCGCTTTGGAAATGTATATATTTTTTTTTTTTGGCCACGCTGCGTGGCATGCGGGATCTTAGTTCCCTGACCAGGGGTCGAACCCGTGCCCCTTGCAGTGGAAGCGCAGAGCCCTAAGCACTGGACCGCCAGGGAATTCCCTGGAAATTTATTCTTGACTGCCTAGAAGAAGGTGCTATGTAAAGAAGAGACTTCAGGGCTCTGTCAGGCCGGGAAGGCAAGCACCTGAGCCTCTGAGTCCCCATCGTCTTCCTTGAGGAAGCTTGAACAGGGTGTCCCCCTGGCAGACTGGCTTGCCCTGGTGACTTTTCTCCCTGGTGTGTTTCTCCGGCAGGTGAGGCGGACCCTGTTCATAACAGGACTCCCCAGAGACGCAAAGAAGGAGACAGTGGAGAGCCACTTCCGGTGCGCAGGGCCGCTTCCACTGGGAGGGAAGGGGAGAGAGACCCTAGGAGGACCTGGCCCAGCCACAGAGCCGTGGATGCTGCTCTGGGCAGGCTCTGCTGGGGCTGTGAGGGCCTGGGCTGGGGCGGCACGTCCTCTGCCAGCAGCCACGGCTGCCCACGTGAACGCAGTAGCCAGAATACAGGCCAGGGTGTGGGGCAGATAAACATCTTGAGAGCTCAGGGGTAGAAAAAAAGATTCATAGAAACGATATGCCCACACATCCCCCGCCAAAAAAGAAAAGAAAAGAAAAGAAAAGGATTCACCCTGGGCTTCTCAGCGTCAGCTTTGCAGAGTAAGAGATGCCCGAGAGACACCAGTCTTGGAGGCGGGGAGGGACCTGGGCTCCGCTCTGCATTTCGTGGTTCATTCTTCTGCTCAGCACGTGTCTCTTGAGTGAGCACTCCGGGTACGGAGCCCTGTCCTCACAGAGCTCACTCACGGCTCTCCCAGCAGAACCTCCTTTCCAGCAGCCTCCTCTGAGCACCTGCACTGGGGTTACCTGCAGGTGGAGGCTAGAGGAAGGGCCTTACTGTGAGAAGGAAACTGTGTGTATGGTGCGATGAATGCAGGGCATCTCATGGAGCTTCAGGAAAGGGGATGGTCGGGGGAGAGGGGGCCGGGAAGGGGCCCAGGACCCTGGGCTGGAGGACTTGAACCTGGGCTAGGGAGCTGAGGTTTCAGTCTGTATTCATTCCTCATCAGCAGTCATTAATTTGTAGTATGGATTAGGGGTTGGCTATGGCTTGGCTTTGCACTATTTATGAAGAACACTTGCTAAGCAAATTATTAGTATAAACAGAATTGCAAAATGAATGTTGAAAATTTATTCACTAACCTCTCTTTTAGAAACTCTAAGTATTTTAGAAATATTTTTCTATATATAAACATTGGGTACTGGAATCATTTTTCTCTATTCCTTGAAACAGCTCCCCAAAGTTTCCTGTTAGGCAACATTTGGAAACAGTAGCTCCACTTAATATATTACCTTAAAGAGAAAAAAAAGTCTTCTCATTCCCGTTACAAACACTGAATCACACTCTCTCCTATTTCAGGCAGCCCTTTTAGTGAACACTGCTGCAACCCGTGGGGATTGATGTGTGAATTTGCCTTGTAGCAGGGATGCTTACACCATTGTTCTCTTCCGCAGTAATGGGACCTGAAATTGTCTGCCTGACATGTCTGTGGGCTGTGTGTCTCTCTCTCTCACTAAAATGTAAACTTATCCAGGCTCCATCCCAGTGCCTGGCAAGTAGTAGGTGGGGATTTACACGGTTCAGGAATGCCCAGGAGTTGCACATAGGATTTTGCGTATATGGTGAGGGAGCATCGTACACTGGGTACAGGCATGGGTCCTGGATCTGGGCCGCCTGGATTCACTTCCTGGCTCAGACACTCACTAGCTGTGTGATCTTGGGCACAAGTCATTTTACCTCTCCGACGCATATTGTCCTCATCTGTAAAATGGGGACACAAACCTCACAGGGTATGGTGAGGATCAAATAAGTTAAAGCATTTATTGGGCTGAGGGCCCTTTGCTTTCATGAGACCAAAAAGGTCTGTGATCTTCAAAAGGGTCACAGACTGAATAGGATTTCAGTGATGGTCCAGAGTAGAAATGACCTAGAGCAAACAATAAATTTACTCCTTTGCATGGGTGGAGGAGGTAATGAATAGTGTTATTTTTTTTCTTCAGGAGTACTGACTGGTTTAAAGCCAAGTGGGTATAAACTTGTCAGTTTCAGGCAGTTACTTTCATGCTATTTAAAAAGACCTCTTTGTATTACATTTCAAAATTTCCCCCTTTGGTAAAAGACAAAGAGGGAAGAGGTCTTCCCTGGCACAGAAATGAGCAGTGTAATTGCTCTGCCACCCCTGGAGTCTTGGGGGGGTCTCTCCTGCCTGGGGGGGTTCTCTTTTCCGATGGCTATCTTTTTCTTCTGATCTGCCCTGGGCACAGGGACGCGTATCCCACGTGTGAAGTGGTGGAGGTCCAGCTGTGCTACAACGTGGCCAAGCTGATTTACCTGTGCAGGGAGAGGTAAGGGAGGGCTGGCAGGGTGGGCGGGCATGGGCTGAGCTGGCCCGCATCTTTCTGACTCCTTCCCTCTGAGATGCCATCCTCCTTCCTTATGGCCTCGGATACCCTAGCGAGGAAAGGAGGGGAGTGGCTCTGTGAGTCACACCACAGGATTGCGAGTCTGAAGTTTGTCCCTCCCACTGCAGAAAAAAGACAGAGAAGAGCCTGACCTATTACACAAACCTGCAGATGAAGACAGGCCAGCAGACCTTCATCAACCCCAAGCCCTGCGGCCAGTTCTGCTGCTGTGAAGTGCAGGGGTGTGAGTGGGTGAGGACCCACACCCCCCAGGAACGTGGGCGCTGGGTCCCCCGAGACCTGCACAGGGCCACGTCATCACAAGGGGATGTGTCCTCTGGCAGGAGGACGCCATCTCCTACTACACGCGCATGAAGGACAGGCTGATGGAGAGGATCACAGAAGAGGAATGCAGGGTCCAGGACCAGCCCCTGGGGATGGCCTTCGTCACCTTCCAGGAAAAGTCCATGGCCACCTAGTGAGTGTGGGCATGTTCCTTGTCTGCCTCCAGATAAATTGCTTTCCCTCTTGGATAGAGACGGTACTGCGGAACCGCCATTGCTGGGATTTGTTTGTAGCATTTCCATCTCCTTCGGCGGGTGTGGCTGGGATTGGGGGCAGCCATCCACACCCACTCCCTTGGTGAGCCTGGCTGATGTTTGTGTGACAGCTGGGCATGGGTGATTCCAGCTGAGCCCCTCTTGGGTTGATATGGCCTTACCCCACTGCCGGGCTCTCACCAGCTGCCCCAGGGATCCCATTGCCTCTATGACCCAGCATTTCACCAGGTGGGGTGGATGCTACCCTCTTTCATGTACCCACTCTGGAACTACAGATCTTCCTTCTGTGCGTGGCCTTCCCGTCTCCCTACAAATGCACTGCTGTGGGGGAATACCTCTGGGCACTCCAGGATGCTCACTGCTGCTGAGAGCCCGGCCCAAGGGAGTGGGTTTTCATAGTGCACCTTGGCATGAGCTGTAGCTCCTAAAACGCTCTCATGCCTGGGATCTCCATGTCGTCTCGCCTGGGGAGCAGCAGGGGATGGGGTCGGGAGAGGGAGACGGAAAGGAGTTGGCCCAGCAAATCCTCCTTCCGCTGCCTTCCCTGCTTGGTGCATCGTGAACCCTGGGAACGGACTCCTGGCTGTGGCTTGCAGACTCTCAAGCGAGGCTGGGGTGGGGTCGAGGCCAGTGCAAAGAGGAAGGGTGTTCTGAGACAGGAGTAGGGGCGCTGGTGGGTTCTTTGTGGGAGACTGAAGAGGGAAGGAGTGGAGAGGGTGGGGGTGGGAGTCCTAGGGAGGGGCATCTTGGGAGTCGTAGGTGATGCAGTCTAATGCTGCTATGAGGCCTGGGAAGAGGTGAGGGAGTGGAAAAGTGAGGCCTGGGAAGAGGTGAGGGAGTGGAAAAGTGAGGCCCCGGGCCTGGCAGCGGGATGTCCAGCTTCATGGGCAGGGCAGAAGGGGGCCGCAAGGAGGAGCCCTATGTTGGGGCAATGCCAACAGCATGGGAGCTGGGGTCAGACAGACAGGGTGCAAAACCTAACTCTGAGAGCCTCAGTTTCCTTATCTGTAAAATAGGAATGGTAATCCCCGGCTTAGAGGGTTGTCCTGAGGATTCAGCAAAATTCTGCACATAATGTGCTAAGAATGGCATCTCTTTCATAGCACTAATTATAGCGTAAGTATAATAAACTAATAATAAAGCAAAGGTCCTGTGCCATGGGGCTCCCGCTCTCACACGGTCCTGTTTGCTGTGTGGGTACATGGTACCCCGAGGGGTCTGGACCCTCTGGCCATTTCTACATTTCCTGGCAGCATCCTGAAGGACTTCAATGCCTGCAAGTGTCAGGGCCTTCAGTGCAAAAGTGACCCGCAGCCATCCTCCCACAGCAGAGAGCTCTGCATCTCCAAGTGGACGGTCAGCTTCGCCGCTTACCCCGAAGACATCTGCTGGTGAGCCCCCAGGCCGGCAAGGGGCGGGAATGGGGCCCCTGCAGGGCTGCCCAAGTCACCTGGAAGCACAGGTGTGACCTGGCACTCAGAGAGACACTCGTACCCTCCTGCACCCCTCTGGGCAGGGGGTAGGAGGCGTGATGGGGGTGGGTGGTGTGTCCACACCCAGGACTTTACTCCATTCTTTCTCCCCGGTATCAGCAGTGTCTGGTAGGATTATAATGGGAGCAATGTATGTAATTTTAAGTTTCCTTTTAGCCACATTAAAAAAAGTAAAAGGAACTGGGGAGTTCCCTGGTTGCCTAGTGGTTAGGATTTCAGGTTTTCACGGCCATGGCCCAGGTTCGTTCCCTGGTCAGGGAACTGAGATCCTGCAAGCTGCACAGCGAGGCCAAAAAACACCAAAAAAAACCACAACAAAGAAACAGGTCTTAAAAAAAAAGAAAAAAAGTAAAAGAAACTGTTAAAATTAACTTTAATAAGAGGTCTCCCTCTGTATCTAAAATATTATCATTTTAATATGTAATCAATTTTTTTTTAATTGAGATGTTTTACGGTCTCCTTTTCATACGTAGCATCTTTGAGATCCAGCGTATATGTGCCACTTCTGGCCCGTCTCTGTTTGGACCAGCCACATTTCAACATGCAGTAGCCTGCTGTGGCTCGAGGCTGCTGTATCACACAGTGCAGCCCTGGGTTAGGTGCCAGCCGCCTCTCTAGCCTGGGGCACAAGCTGGTGAGCTGAGCTGTGTCCACAGGAGCCTTAAGCACGATGCCGAGGGTGAGGACAGCACGGCAGAGGCCCCAGCGTGGCTCGCCGTCCAGCCTGGCCTCAGATCCTGGTCCAGAGCAGGGTTTGGGTGCTCATCTCCACCGGGCTGTACTGCAGCCCCTGGCAATTCTGCTCTTTGGTTCACTGAGCTTTCTGAACTTGGGACTGGTTTTTCAGTCTGCTCTTGGTGGGGTGAGAAGCCAGGGCGGGTTCCAGCTGCACCTTTCGCTTTTGTCCTCCGCCTCCCTCCAGCTCACACCACAGCTCACGGCCCCGTGGGGAGTCACGTGTCTTTAGTGTGTCTGAAAAATGCCATGTTGGAGCCTTGTTTGGTCTGCTGGGGGGCTCATGGCATCTCTTCGAGTAGGTTCTGGCTCCCAGACTCTAGCTGCAGATAACCTGTTTTCCCTCTGAGCTCATAGGGACCCCAAATTCGACCTTCCTATAGCTGAAGGTCAGTGCAGGACACTTGCCTGTGCTCCCAAGGTCAAGATGGGCCCTCAGCCAGAGCCCTCAGTCTAGTCTCTTGCCTTGCCTAAATTTGACCTTCTGACTCACCCAAGCCGTGGGCACTGTAAGGTGTCATAGGTGGCCAGAGCCTGAGAGATAAACCTCCAAGGCCTGTGTCCTCCCCTCTGCAGGAAGAACCTCTCTATCCAGGGCCTCCGCTGGTGGTTCCAATGGCTGGGCATCAACTTCACTCTCTCCTTGGGGCTGTTTTTCCTGACCACGCCCTCCATCATCCTGTCCACCATGGACAAGTTCAATGTCACCAAACCCATCCATGCGCTAAATGTGAGTGACCGTTCTGCAGGGCCTCTCCGAAGAGGGCATGGCGGATGGGGGAGGAATGAGACCAAGAGCCGTGGGGGCCACTGAACCAGGAGGCCGTGTCACTCGGCTCATGTGCTTTTAAGCCCCTGAGCAGGCATGGCCACATTTATTACAATGTCTTTATAGTAACGTTATGTAGATATACATATGTGTATATACTTTATGTATACATGTATGTGTATGTATATGTGTGTGTATATGTGTTACTATAGAGACATAGATACAGTGGAATGAATCTAAATGTTCAACAGTAGGGGTAATTTGAGTTGAATGAGGTATATTCAGTCTGACAGACTGTTAAGCATCCATTAAAAAATTGTATAGACTTTGTGGCAGACATGGGGTTTTACGATAAAAGCAGAATATAAAATTATCTCTCAGCAGTGGTTATAGTGATGTGCCAGTGATGTGTGTGCAGGATGGCTGCTACGGGGAGTGGGTAGCAAAGAATGCAAAGCGCTTCTCTGATTGGGGTGGCAGGGTCATGACTCAGTTTTTCTTTTTATATTTCAGTTTCTGATAATCCTGTTGTAAAGTTACTTATTCTAGATAGGTAATGAATGATTTTGAAGGATCTTAGATGAATTGATAACAGCTGAACACTCCCTAAAATGGCATCTACTTGGCTTCCCATAATTGGCTTTGCCGAAATATCACTCCACATCCTTTATTTTTTTTCAATTCCACTTGGCATTTGGTTAATCACACTCTGGGAAAGCACAGTGGGCTGGGGGGCCTGAGGGCCTGGTCCTCTATCTGCCATTCCCTAGCTGATGAATTCTGAGCCTTGGGTTTTCCTCTAAAAGCTGGCTTTGTCCTCTGTAACACTGTGCCATGTCATACCCATGGGGCCGTTGTGATGATCAAATAACTCAATAGGTAATAAAAAATATGTAAGTTTTGTTTAGATTTAAAGCATCTACGTGTTTATTCCTTTGCCAGTCTTTTTTTTTTTTTTTTTTGCGGTACACGGGCCTCTCACTGTTGTGGCCTCTCCCGTTGCGGAGCACAGGCTCCGGACGTGCAGGCTCAGCGGCCATGGCTCACGGGCCCAGCCGCTCCGCGGCATGCGGGATCCTCCCGGACCGGGGCACGAACCCGCGTCCCCTGCATCGGCAGGCGGACTCTCAACCACTGCGCCACCAGGGAAGCCCTTTGCCAGTCTTTTGATGTGTGGTCAAGGCCTGTTCTTCTGAGGAAGGATCTGCTGAGTTGATTTCCCCTTTGTGTATTTTATATAAAACACATGCTTATTTCATTGTTTGTGATTCTAGTTTTGGTTTCTTACAGTCAAGCAAGAACTTAAAGATACTTGCAAAGCCGTTCAAAGTATAGAACCCTCCTAGATTTCATTTCCCTTGGTCTTTTACAGTTAATTCACTCTCATCTAATTCAGCAGCGTTTTTGAGAAATTGGCCTTTATCAAGTCTTTCCAATGTATCCAACTTAGTTTTCAAAGAAATCTCTCTATTGCTGTGCTCATTTTATCCGAGAAGGTAATAAGTTAATCGAACCGTGTAACTGCAATAACAAGTACAACAGGCATAGATGAGATTGGGAACAAACACGAAGCAGGTCTGGGAAGCTACGACTGGGCCAGTGGGAGCTGAGTGGGCAGGTGGCTGGGGAAGGGCCCCGGCCGTCAGTGCTCTGTCTTCCTTTGGCGTCCGTTGTTGGCTTTCTATAGGGAATGGAGGAGGTTATCTCTCTGGTCAGTAAGACAAGTGGAGTTCAGTTGTATGTGAAGTTGCATTCTTCACTCTAAAGAGCTATGCAGGGACTTCCCTGGCGGTCCAGTGGTTAAGACTCTGTGCTTCCACTGCACGGGGTACAGCTTTGATCCCTGGTGGGGGAACTAAAATCCCAGATGTCACGTAGTGTGGCCAAAAATCTTTTTAAAATAAAAATAAGAAAAATAAAGCACTGGGGCTTCCCTGGTGGCGCAGTGGTTGAGAGTCCGCCTGCCGATGCAGGGGACGTGGGCTCGTGCCCCGGTCCGGGAGGATCCCACGTGCCGCGGAGCGGCTGGGCCCGTGCGCCATGGCCGCTGAGCCTGTGCGTCCGGAGCCTGTGCTCCGCAACGGGAGAGGCCACGGCAGTGAGAGGCCCACGTACCGCAAAAAAAAAAAAAAAAAAAAAGTAAAAGAAAAATAAAGCACCGTACAAATGTCAGGTGCTGTTACTGTCTGTTCGGCCAACATTATCTACCCTGTACCAGGTACAATGTTGCTTCTGGGGGACAAAAGTGACCAAGATCCCAGAGGTCACTGAGTCACCATGCCAACAGGTCATGGCCCAAAGCCCTCAGGGCTCACAGCTCTCTCTGCTGTGGACTGTTTTCTAGGACCCCATCATCAGCCAGTTCTTCCCAACCCTCCTCCTGTGGTCCTTCTCAGCCCTGCTGCCCACCGTCGTTTACTACTCTACGCTGCTGGAGTCCCACTGGACCAAGTGAGTTCCCTGGGGCTCGCCCCTGAGGTGGGTGTCTCTGAGGCCCCCACCCCGCCAGTGTGACGGGCATACAGCCGGGGCCTTACTGGGGACGCCCGGTGCATCTGAGGGACTGTGACGGCTCACCTCTGACTTCCTGCAGGTCCGGGGAAAACCGAATCATGATGACCAAGGTCTACATATTCTTGATCTTCATGGTGTTGATTCTGCCCTCCCTGGGCCTCACCAGGTACATATTACCACCTCCTGCTCTAAACTCAGAACCAGGGTCACAACAGAGAACACTGTCCTCAAGAAAATGCAGATGCTTTGGGAGCGGTTGCAAATTCCTGACAACATTTAAACCTGTCGCACTCACTTGGCATGCAATTGTGCTGGCCCACTGATTCTTCCAGAGATATGATCTTTCTGCCTTAAAAAAAAAAAAAGCTTGAAAATGAAACTTACCATGGACCTTCCACTTAGGGAGAGGGTCTAATCATGGCTTTGGTTATTTTGAGGAAGGAAGTTTCTGTTAAAGCAGAATGGTATGATGAGTTATGGTATAATAAGCAGCATCTTAGAGAACCAGGGTAGATCTTGAGATCTGGCCTTTTTTTTTTAAAAAAAAAAAAAGCAGAAAGCAGGAGAAAATGAAAACATGTGCAGTGATCACATGGACTGTTGGAAATAAGTTCTTACGGGATTCATTTTTCTTTCAGTTTGGATTTTTTCTTCCGGTGGCTCTTTGATAAAACTTCCTCGGAGGCCTCTGTCAGGTTGGAGTAAGTATCAGCCAGGCTGAGTTTTGGAGCCACGTCCCCCAGGGGCTGGGGCTGCAGTGGGGGGAGGGTTGTCTGTCCTTCTGAGCCTGTGGACTCCCCACACCACTGCAGGTTCCTGGCGGGGCTGCACAGGGGGAACTGACCCACTTTGTGCTACAAGTGCAGAAATGTGGTTAATCTTTTAGGTTGAAACTCAATTAGTGGCGTTCTCATTCATTCTTTGAAACTTACTTACTGAGAACAGAACCGCCTGGGGAGAAGGAACTGCTGGGTCTCAGTGGTGCCAGGGAAGGGGGAAGGAGAATAATAATTAACACTGCAACCAGAATGACTGTCTGGTCCAGGATTATTTTTGCTAGGAGAGAGGAGTTGAGCTTATTTCTAATGTGTGTCCTCGTTAGTATTTTCAACTCGTACCGAACCCACTTAATAGTAATAGCTGTTATTTAAGAAGATGCTATGCCAAATGCTTGATTCTTTTTTTCATTTAATCTTAAAACAAGCTATGAGTCAGAAATTTGACTATTTCCATTTTACAGATGAGACTGAGGCCCAAACATGCTGAAGAAAAAAAGGCTACCCAGCTAGTTAAGAGACAGAGCTGGGATTCATCCCCAGCCCCTACTGTACTATACTTTAAGTCCTAATGTAGGCCCGAATGTCCAAGATAGACTTTTCCAAAGGACTGCTCACAGGGAAGCCTGGCCGTGCCTATCTGAAAGGATAGAGTGAATTTTCTTAAATGGGTTCTCGCTGGGTAAACTAAGGGCTTGGGAGCTGGCAGCCACAGACAGACACACCCATACCCAACCAGCTCGGGTCTAGGTTGACAGTGACTTCCAGATGGCCAAATCCATGGTCAGTTCTGAGTCTCATCTCTGCCCAGTCACGGGTCCCTCTCCCTCTCGGGGCGCTCAGCTCTCACACCCGGTGGCTCCCCAGGTGCGTCTTCCTGCCCGACCAGGGCGCCTTCTTTGTGAACTATGTCATCGCCTCGGCCTTCATTGGCAACGGCATGGAGCTGCTGCGGCTGCCCGGCCTCACCCTCTACACCTTCCGCATGGTCATGGCCAAGACTGCAGCCGACCGCAGGAACATCAAGCAGGTACAGAAGGTGGGGGTGGGTGCCGCCTTCGTCCCAGAGCCTCCCCGCCGCCCGCGTTTACCCAGCCGCCTGCTAAGTGCCGGGCACTCTGCTCAGGGCCTCTCAACTGGGCCCAGGGCTGTGAGGAGAGGAGGTGTAAGGAGCCTGGGTGAGGGCCTGGCTAGGTCATCCTCCATGCTGACTCGGGCTGGAGGAGAGAGTGGGGATTTTTGCATTTTAACCGGGCTGATCTCACACACACACACACACACACACACACACACACACACACACGCACACACGCACACACACACTTCTTTCCCATGGACCTTCATTTGCATAAATTCTTAGATTACTGCAGAGGTCAAAGCATTTTGGGCTGGTGGCATTTGTTCCAGGACTCTCTAAATTGGGTGTGTGGGGTTCTCTTTGATTCTCCTTTGCCACTGTGGGAACCATAAGAGGAGGAGCCCTGCATCCTGTCATTTAATCCTCAGAGCCCACCGTGAGATGGGCGCTACTGGAGCTTGCTTTGCAGACTCACGGACTAAGCCACCGGGAGCTCAAGTGCTTGGCCCAGGACACACGGCTAGAAGGGGCGGAGTGATGCTGGGTCTGACAGTCTGTGGAGGATCACTCTACAGTCAGATGTACCCCCTCTGCCCTTTGGGGGCTCACAGGCCTGTTGTGTAGACAGGATTAGAACAAGAGAAACACTACGAAAACACGAGTCATTGTGCCTTTCGAGGTCTGGGTGTGAGCCAGGTGAAGCTGGAGGAGGCTTGTGGAGGGACAGAAGGGGCCTTGAGAGGTGAGGGGCGCGAGCCTGGGTGAGGGCCTGGCTAGGTCATCCTCCATGCTGACTCGGGCTGGAGGAGAGAGTGGGGATTTTTGCATTTTAAACGGGCTGATCTCACACACACACACACACACACACACACACACACGCACACACGCACACACACACTTCTTTCCCATGGACCTTCATTTGCATAAATTCTTAGATTACTGCAGAGGTCAAAGCATTTTGGGCTGGTGGCATTTGTTCCAGGACTCTCTAAATTGGGTGTGTGGGGTTCTCTTTGATTCTCCTTTGCCACTGTGGGAACCATAAGAGGAGGAGCCCTGCATCCTGTCATTTAATCCTCAGAGCCCACCGTGAGATGGGCGCTACTGGAGCTTGCTTTGCAGACTCACGGACTAAGCCACCGGGAGCTCAAGTGCTTGGCCCAGGACACACGGCTAGAAGGGGCGGAGTGATGCTGGGTCTGACAGTCTGTGGAGGATCACTCTACAGTCAGATGTACCCCCTCTGCCCTTTGGGGGCTCACAGGCCTGTTGTGTAGACAGGATTAGAACAAGAGAAACACTACGAAAACACGAGTCATTGTGCCTTTCGAGGTCTGGGTGTGAGCCAGGTGAAGCTGGAGGAGGCTTGTGGAGGGACAGAAGGGGCCTTGAGAGGTGAGGGGCGCGGTGAGGCTCCCACTTCCAAAGTCCTCCCGCACTGTGTTCTCCCCGACCACTTGGAGTGCACAGAGGCGGGTTGGTGTGGACCAAACCCCTAAGCCCCTCACCACCTCCCCCTCCCAGAACCAGGCCTTCGAGTACGAGTTTGGAGCCATGTATGCGTGGATGCTGTGTGTCTTCACCGTCATCATGGCCTACAGCATCACCTGCCCCATCATCGTGCCGTTCGGTGAGTGACCCTGGGGCCGGTCCCAGGGTAGGTGGATGGCTGATTCTGCCGAGCACCCCAGGACAGCCATCAGCAGGGCGTCATGGAGCCCCACAAACAGAGGGCCTCTTGTAGCCACAGGAACCATAAGCTGCCAAGGAGCCACAGGGGACACCAAATTTAATTTCACTTCTCGTGGATTCCTTCCACGGGCCTTCCAAACTGCGAGCTCTCTTAGTACCCCTCCTGGTCTGAGGGCCTCTGCCGGCTGACCGCTTCATCCCTGGTTGATCCTCCGGCAGCAGCTAGGACAGTGCCAGCAGCACTGGTGGAGGCTCTCGTGTTTGTGTCCTGGCTCTGGCAGCCACTGTCACTCTCCACGTGGATTGTCACACTTAATTCTCTATCCTTCAAGGCAGGTCTTGTTTCTGTCCCCTTTTCACAGATGAAACACTTAACGCTTTGTTAGTGAGGAGTAGAGCCCAGATATGAACTTAGGACTGTTTGACTTAGAAGGTCAAGGTCTTGCAATTAAAATACACCATCAGGAGCTGGCAGACAAATGGAAGCGTCTGGAAGGAAACAGAACACCCAGGAGGCTGTTGGCAGTGATAGCTGTGGTTTAGGGAAAGGAGGAAGTTTTAGTTTTCCCCGTATACTCTCTCGTACTTTTTATTTATTTATTTATTTCTTTTGCGGTACGCGGGCCTCTCACTGCTGCGGCCCCTCCCGTTGCGGAGCACAGGCTCCGGACGCGCAGGCTCAGCGGCCATGGCTCACGGGCCCAGCCGCTCCGCGGCACGCGGGGTCTTCCCGGACCGGGGCACGAACCCGCGTCCCCCGCATCGGCAGGCGGACTCTCAACCACTGCGCCACCGGGGAAGCCCTCGTACTATTTTTAAAGATCTACGATAGTATTACTCTTTCAAAACAACAACAAAAAGTGTTTTTAAAGAACCTGACATAATAGAAAAGGCAGCACCCACCCACCTGCTGTGCCATCCCTTGGTTTAGACCCTCGGGCATCTGTTGGCAGTGACAGTACAGGGGGTCAGCTTGGGTGGGAGGAGCGGAGCGTGGGAGCGCTGAGGGGTGCAGAGGAGGGGGGCTCAGTGTGGGAGGAAGTTGAGGCCAGGCCGCTGGGTGTAAAATCGCCTCTTTCCCCAGAACGGTCCTAGAATTTCAATGTTCCGTGGGGGCAGCAGCACAGACACCTCTACTCCCTGGGTCAGAGAGGGGCTGGGAGGGAGGAAGGGGACGTGGGGAGGGGAGAGAGGGGGAGAGGTGGGCGGGGCGGGGAGAGGAATCAGTAGGAGCCACGACATGCACGTAGCCCAGCCGCAGCCCCAGCCCAGCTCCCGGCACAAATAGCCACCTCCAGGAGGAAGGGCGTTGAGTGGCCCCTGCGGCCCGGCCACTGTCCAGCTCACAGCCCTGGCCCTGCAGGCCTCATCTACATCCTGCTCAAGCACATGGTCGACCGGCACAACCTCTACTTTGCCTACCTCCCGGCAAAGCTGGAGAAGAGAATCCACTTCGCAGCCGTGAACCAGGCCTTGGCCGCTCCCATCCTGTGCCTCTTCTGGCTCTACTTCTTTTCCTTCCTGCGCCTGGGTGAGTGGCCCTTCTGACTAGGGCGGGGGTGGAGGGCAGGAGGCAACACCCAGCCTCCTATTCCCGCATCCACACCAGCCAGTCAAATCCCTTCCTCTTTTAAGAGCATCAACTCGGTGTCCAATCAGAAGGTGGTACCCCAAGGGTGAGGGCTGATTGCGTACAGAGCTGACAACCCAGTTCCAAGCTATCCTGAGGTCAGGTGTAACCTGGTGAAGGCCAGGTCGATTGCCCCAGGCAGCCTTACAGAGAAGATGGTCCCTTTACCAGCTATGAAGGGGCTGAACCAGAGAGGGGGAAGCTAGTCCGTGATGCTCTTTGCGGGTGTGGATGGGCCCAGGTCCTCACACTTCACAGTGTGGAGGCAGTGGGGACATGCAGGAGGGAGAACTGCCACTCTTGAGAAAAAGGAAGAGGCAGAAGAGATGTGTGACTCTGCCAAGGGCACTGGAGACTGGAGGGAACCGACCCAGCAGGGAAGCTGGCAACTTGCCTTTGACTCGGTGCCCCAGTACCTGAAATCGGACCAGGGATAACGCCAGCTGTTCAGTGGGTCACCCTTTGTGCCCCTGCCTGTGAAGATACCATCCCAGCTGCTGGAGATGGTGGGAAGGGGGTGGGTGATGCCTTCTCTTCGTCTTCGGCCTGAGAGAGAAGCCACACACAGTTCCTGCACCAGGTGTGAGCTCCCCGCCGCCAAGGCTGGCATCTCTTTGTCCGCAGGTCTGAAGGCTCCCCTCACCGTGTTCACCTTCCTGGTGCTTCTGCTTACCATCCTGGTCTGCCTGGCCTACGCCTGCTTTGGATGCTTCAAGCACCTCAGCCCTCTGAACTACAAGGTACAGGGCCCCTCCCACACTGCTGCCCAGCCAGGGGCTGGGAGGAGGAGATGGTGGCTTCATTCTCCATCCCATCTCCACCTCTTCGCAGATCAACAGATTAACAGCCCTCTCCAGATTTTATTTATCCACGGGGAAGGCGTGGGTAGCTGGGTGTGATGTGTAGCTTCCCTCCCTGCCCCCTTCCCTGCTCCCTGCACTGCCCACACCATCCTCTCTTGGGCTGCCGCTGGGAGCTTTGTGCCAGCTGGTACTATTATTCTGGGCGTTAGTCGTCTGTTTGTTTAGAGGGTGTTAGTTCAGGAAGATCGGTTTTGTTTATCATCGCAAGTTTTTGCTGTTGTCTGCAGACGGAAGAATCGGCGTGTGACAAAGGAAGTGAGGCAGGGGCCCACGTACCTTCACCGTTCACCGTAAGTGCGGTTCTTAGCCGAGCGTCAGCATCTGCACCGGCCCCGACCAGGTGGGCCCTGCAAACCTGCTTTGATCCTCTCCTGTCAAGACAGAAGTCCCTAGATCACGTGCCGGGCGGGTTTCTGAATTAACGTCACTTGAGAAGGAATCCCTGGTCCCTCCGGATGTTTTCTCTTGCGTGTGTGAAGCCACATCCATCACCAGAAGATAATTAGTTTTGCCATGATGTATACCCATCTCCCTCGGTTTCAGTTGCCTGCTCACTTTCCTTCTCTGCATATTTAATGCTTGGTGAGCTTGGGCCTTTAGTGAAGCCGTATGGCAAGGCCCTGCGGTTTGATGAAGCTCTATCAGAGCATTTCGCCAGCACCTGCCTGTGTGAGGTCCTTTGCTAGGCACCAAGAGGGTGTCACGCTAACTCCCCTCTGGATTCAACAAATGAACGTTTTACCTGCTATGGAGGGGGGCACAGTGTTAGAAAGACACCAGGACTCCTTTCCTTCCTGGTTCTCCCTGCTTCCGGCCTCCAGGGTCCTGCTCCTAGGGTGGGGTTGGGAAAGGAAGGTGGAGCCACAGGCTCCCGGAGCTGTGGAGCTGTGACCGCCCGGGCCTGACAGACAGGGCTGGGACAGCGCCGATCTAGATCAGCGGCAGCATTCTTTCCAGTGGCTCCCTCTCGGGTGTCAGGCACTCTTATCAGTGTCTGTCTTTGGATCAGCCCCAGAGAAGGTTTCAGGAAGATTCATTACCCAGAGGCACACCTGTGACTATGCCCGCCAGACAGGGCAGGTGGATGATGCAGATCTCTCATTCTCAGCCTGGTTCAGGTCGGCAGCTGGAGTCTGGGATTGAGAGGAAACAGAACCTACACAGAGTCGGTCAGCTGCTCAGAAGTCCCACTGACAGCATTCTAAGCCTGCCCTGTGTAGAGAGACCTGTTTCCTACATAAAGTGAGAAATTCTTCTAGAATCCAGTGCCAGGAAAAGTTTTGTTTCCTCTGAGAAATTGGTGTGTGTGCTTTCTTCTCTATGACCAGGAGAACCGTGACTGTGTGTTCTGATTTGCTCTGGCTCTTAGGAAAATCTGCAGTTGGCATATTTTAGGTCCTGATGTCCTAGGTTGATGTTATTTCTTTATGTGTCCTTCATGAGCATTCTGTGTGTCTTCCGGCTGGAGGGAGGCGGGGCGGTAGGGGAGGAACGGGATAGGGACTCTCATGCCCACCCCACCCAAGCACTAACACCCCCATTTGTTGGCAGTCCTACGTGCCCCGGATTCTGAACAGCTTGTCCTCGGAGAAAACAGCCCTGTCCCCGCAGCAGCAGCAGACCTACGGTGCAGTCCACAACATCAGTGGGACCGTCCCACGGCAGTGCCTGGATCAGAGCCCTGCGGACAGCGTGGCGGCCGCCTGCCAGGAGGCCTGAGGGCCGGAGAGCTGCGGGCTGGTCCAGACCCGGGGAGTTGGGAGGGGAAGAGACACAGGTGGTGAAGTGGCTTGACTCCAACCTCAACCAAGTCAGGACTTCTTTCCACCTGTTTTAAGCACAACAGCTCTAAAATGATGGGAGCAGAAAGGGGCTGTGGCCCTTGGTTGAGGCGGAAGTGCAGGACTGCCATCAGGTGGTGGTCTTTTCTAGTCCTAGCAGTGGTAAGAGGAGGATGTGCAGCTCTGGACTCTCCCTTGCTTGCCGGAGGCTCTGTTTATTTCCAAGTCCCCCTTCTGCATAAGTGCCCAGCTCTGTGGCCGGGATGATGCCCCTGATGATT